AAAGAAAATGAAGTTCACTTTGGTATTCCCACCCATCCCTCCGTTCCTCCCTTCTTGAAGGCATTTGAAAGAAAAGATTTAAAATTGCTTGTAAATTGAAGCAAGATTGCATGGCTATTGATTCAAATGTTGGCAGGTCTGACTCAGAGCCGTCTCTCTCATTCCTGATACCGATACTGACAGCGAAAGAGGGATTCCAAGGAGTCAGGTGTAATCAAATGACCCCAGAACCCCAATCACCTCCCTGTGCAGGGGAATTCAACATTTCCATTCTAGCCCGGGTCTCACTGCCAAAATGTTCATTGGGATTTCAGTTTGCCCTTCTCCATGCTAGGATTTTTTTGGTTCTTTGCTCCGATACCTTAACAGCTAACAAGAAACAATCTCTGAATATTCACAGAATGGCAGAGCTGGGTGGATTCGGCAGATAAACACAGTCACAGGGGCCTCGGAAGCGCTGCTATTGGGCCTGTGACAGGGAATGTGGCAGAATAAATCCTCCACTTTGTGTCATCCTCTGCATAGAAAGAGTCTGGGTCTATTACATCTTATAAGAAAAAAAAAGATATTAAAGAGAAAATAAGATCATAGTAATAAAAGTCTGCCTGTGTATTAAAGGGTTGGAGACATAATCATACAGGCCTGAATCTACTTATTTTCTAGGCTTCCTTTAGCAAATTTTCTTTGCTTGGTTTCTATGGAAACTGGAAACTGCACATGAGCTAAAGACACTCAATAGTCCTCCCTAGCTGGTGTGTCCATTTTAGATTTCTCTGCTTTAAGTGATATCATGTTGTAACCACTAAGATTAAAACACACTCACACACACACACCAATCCATACCCTGTACTCTCAGAATTATTGCTGAGAAGGTCAATGTTGAGAGCTACTGTTTATTGAGCACTTAATATGCTCCAGGACACATACTAAACAATTATAGGCTTTAACTTGATCCTCCCAATAGCCCAGTTAAAAATACAACTCTCTTCCTTGTCTTAAGGGGAGCCAAAACATCTCAGCCCATTGAACTGCACCAAGAAGTGGTACCCAGGCAGGAAAGCCATGTTTCCATCTTCCCATAGAAAATTCCAGGTGGAGGAAGGGGAAGGACAGAGCGCAGGCTCCTGTCCAGGAAGGCAGGCACACTGCCAATCAATCCACTCCTTCAGCAGCCACTGCCTCTCCACCCTCACCCACACCAGGCCAAGCTCGACCACCAAGGCAGCGCCAGCCTTGGTGTGGAAGGAACACCTGCATAGTGGCAACAAAGCTCCCAGGTTCCCAAGGCAACAAGCTCATCCATCTCCCCAGCCTGAAAGGACTCCCTTAGCCAGTCCCTTGAGTAAAGAATTGAAGACTCCTTCCACCATTAAGATACCAATGGGTAAAGCGCTCCTCCAAGCACCAACATGCCCGCTGAAAGTGGGCTCTCCAATGGCCTAACTGGACAGCAGGGCTCTGAAAGGATGGGCTGCTCCAGCCCCTCGTCTGAGCCTCCCTTCAGCACGTGGCAGGTCTGGTGTTCCGCCATGGTTGTTTGGTCCTCTTTCTCCTGAAGCTTCCATACCCTCTACCAAGCTCCCATGTTTTCTTTCAATCCCACTGTCCCAATCCCACCTCTCAGCCCATCTGTGATGCCCACAGCACCATTCCAGACCCCACCCACAATGGCCATTCCTTCCTCTGGCCTCTCATAGCTTTTAGTTTAAGAAATAAATCACTTGGTAACCTTGATTCTTAGTTAGATAGGTATTTATTTCCACTCTGTTGGTTGCTGTGTTCCCACCACATTTATGCTCAATAAACTCTCGCTGAATAAATGAACAAATGACAGTTTGGAATCAGAGGAGATGGGCCAGACTGAGCTATGGAGTGGGCACCTGAGGAGGACCCCAGGAGGCTGCTGGGAAGCTTGGAGGGTACCTGAGGGTGCTCTGGGGCAGCAGAGGTCTCAATAGGGAGAAAGAGGGGCTCCATATGCAAATCCTGACACCCAACAACCCCTGATGTCTAGTCAGGACCCTTTGAATTGCAAGTCACAGAAAATCAACTAAAATTGGCTTAATAAGAAGGGAATTGTTGGCTGTCATGGGTGGGAGGATATTGAAGTGGCTCATAGAATGAGAGCAGAGTTCCATAAACCCACACCCCAGGAGAGAAAATACAAGACCTAGAAAATGCCTCTCTTTTCTCCTTCCATCCCCTCCCCTCTCCTCGCCTCACCTCTCTCTTTCCTCGCTTCCCTGTATCTGAATTCCAGATATGTTCATCTCACATCACACCTCTCTCTGCTCTCTCGCCCCCTTCTCGTTCTATCTCTCCATCTCAATTGCACTGTCTCTGTTTAATCCCTTTCTCTTTTACAGCAGAGACTGCCTCATGTCAGAAAAAAGAGCTCCTTGCTCTCTGGCTTCTCACAGCTGGCTGCCTCCCCGGCACCAGCTCTGCAGGTGTGTAGCCAACCACACCTGGGCAGTGAGGACTGTGGAAATGGACGGAGCCTGGAGTCTCCTCAGAGCTCCTCACTGCCCATCAGCTGGGCTCAGACTCCACATCTAGCTCCATAACTTAAACACACAGCCTCAACTTGTCCCTTAGGAAACCTGTCCTCAGAGAAGTACACCCCGGTCTCCGTGCAATCACAGGCCTCCCACGTGTCTCCTAAACCTCTCCCTTCAGCACTAAGGGGCTTTATGGGCACTGAGCACTCACAGACCCAGCAGACTTCATGCAGATGTGATACGATGACCATTGAAATACATATATACATTGACAGTGCATCGCACAGCAGCCATTTATCCAAGACTTAAAGACACCAAGACACGTGAGCTTGGGGTGTTCTAACAAAAGCCTTTCAGATTCCAACCTGTATTCTCCTTGGTCGTCATCACTGTCCGGCAGATGCCACCTGCAGTATACTCCATTTTCTTTCCCCCATCTTTGTATTTGTGAAGATAAAAGCGGTCTGAAACGAGGAGTTGAAATTACCCACATTTAGACCACTCTGTTGGAAGTTGAAATCTCTTTGTTTTTCTTCTTGATTTCTCTGCGTATAAATACAGTGTTATCAATAGTTGTCTTTCATGATCAAAGACCATGGTGATACTTTCCCAAAAGATAAGGGAGAATGAAAATCATCACCATCATCTACATAAGATCACAGTAAGCCTCTGTGTCATTTTGGCCAGTCCTATCTAGTGTCTGACAACCTCCGTCAGGTTGCCAACAGTCCTGAAACCTACCGAGCCCGGGTCCACTACATCTGTCTCTCAGAGCCACACTTGGAGGACTTTGTAACAAAAATTCATTTCTTTTAAGTACCTGCTACTGGTACATGCCAAGCACTGTTCTAAATAGTTTCCATGCCCTAGCTGGTTTAGCTCAATGGATAGAGCAATGACCCAAGGACTGAAGGGTCCCGGGTTCAATTCTTGTCAAGGGCCAATATCTCAGTTATAGGTTTGATCCCTGGCCCTGGTTAAGGCACATGCAACCAATTGATGTGTCTCTCTCACATCGATGTTTCTCTCTCCCTCTGTCTCTCCTCCTTCCTTCCACTTTCTCTAAAAAATCACTGGAAAAATATCCTCGAGTGAAGATTAACAGTAAGTAAGTAAGTAAATACATAGTTTCTGTGTGTTATCTCATTTAATCCTTCTAAAACCCCTCCACAGTAGCTATTGCCAATATCCCCATTTTACAGATGAAGTAACTGAAGTCCAAGAGACGGAGTCCTTTGCTCATGGGGCTGGTAAGAATTCAGACCCGAGCAGCCTTGCTGCAGAGCACAGACGCTGAGCCCTAACCCTACTACACCATGAGGCCAAATGGAGAGCCATCGTTCAGCCAAGCTGGAGGCCAACCACTTCACCACTCTTCACAGCTTATCCAGACACCCCGTTTAGAGGTATAGGGTCCCAGAGACCAAACCAGTCCTGAGCCTCACTGCCACTCCCATGGCGGCACTCTGCCAGCAGGTCTGCACACCAGCAAAGCCTGCCCGGTTCTCCCTCCGTGTGCAATGCCATCTCTGAAACTTGGTCCGTACACGAAGTTTCCAGGCAGCCCTTCAAGCTGCGACAGTCCACTACTTCCTTCTCCTCCCCGCCCCACACCCTCCCCTCACACCCTCGGCCAGTCCACATGTCCCTATGCTAATTGCCCTTTCCAAAGTTAACATTTCCAAATGGCAGGATAAGTTCAGAGTCATTTAAAGGAAAAATGGGCATACTTGAGACATACTATGAAAATGTTAGGTTTTCTTCATCTTTTTTTTTTTTTTAATCTCATCCTTACCCTCCCTGTAGATTCGGTGAGCTCAAGTGGCCTCCTGTTCATTGTTTTTCCCAGGGAAGATCATTTCAGTTCGGTTCCCACTGTTTCATAACACAAGAGCTCAACTTACACACCTCCAAACAGAGGGATGGGTGCTCAGTTTTGCTTTCCTCTTCCCTCAAGAAAAAGCCTCAATCTCAGTTGCAGGCTTAAACAGACTTAACAGCCATAAGCCCCATAAGCTCTGGCATGCCATAAATAGTCCTTTTCATCAGGAGCTGCAAATCACAATTCTCCTGTAAAAGCCAGAGCAACTCAGAGAGCTGCCCACAGCACTGAGCCTAGGGCCTTGCATTTTAGTGGCATTTAATAAAGATTTGTTGATGGATCGATTGATCTGGGTCTCCCATATCAGGTGTAGCCTGAGTTTCTTAGATTTTTTTTTAAAGGGATTTCAACTAAGATTTAAAACCACCTCTTAATGCTCCAACCTCTCCATTCCCATAGTCCTTTGGGCCCAGTATCGTAGAACCTATTTATAATGCATGAATTTCAAAGCCCCTGTGGGGACAAGAGGGACAAGAGGGCAGGACAGTCCAGTAAAAGGCCCTACGCCATCTGGGCTATGGCACAATAAGAAGCAATGTCCTCATGATAGCCTGGAGGAGGTGAGAAAGGGAACCTCTGGATCATCAGAAAAATGTAAACTAACAATTTGGTCTTACCAGTTGAGAGCTTTGGAGTCAGGAATCCTCATTCCACCACCCCGAGCTCTGGGGCCTTAGGCAGGTGACTCAGCATCTCTGGGCAGCGATTTCCTCATCCACACCAGCACCTGGGCTTCTGTCAGGATCGAATGAGGAAACATGTGGTGAGCCCTGGAGCTACTCTCTGCATGCAGAAAGCATCACTCATCCTATATAATAAGGAGATAACATGCAAATTGACCCTCACTCTGTCACGTGATGACTGCACCCACAGCAGAGGTGGGGTTCCCATAACAAGCGATCAGCAGAGACCTAAGGCTGTGTCGCCCCACCCCCCGGTGGGGCTTGATGGGGGACCTCAGGCCACGCCCCCCATCCCTGCGCCAGGCTGGGGGACTTGAGGGTGCGCTGGGGGACCTGAGGATGTGCCCTCCACCCGGCACAGGGCCGGGGGACCTGAGGCTGCACCCCCCCACACCCAGTGGGGCTTGACAAGGGTGAGGGCAGCCAGGTCTGAGCTTCACGCGATTTCGAGGTGCACGCAGGTGGGCAGAGACTTGACTCTGGGTCCCACAGTGTGCCCCAGACTCTGACAGGAGGAATATTTTCATATACATTTTACTAATTTTCTTTCATCTCTGACACTTCTATTATAAAGGGCAAATAGCAATATTAAAATATTTCCTCTAATTAATTCCCTTTTAATGTGCACGAATTTTGTGCACTGAACCACTAGTGTTATAAATAATCAGCTTAGCAATACAGCAAAGGAAGTTTTACTGTGCTTCTAATTTTATGAAAATCGAGGGTCCGTATATACCAATTATGGTAACTCAGCTAACCAGAATATTCAACTACCTAGAATACCTGCATCTCCCCAAATGCCTGACAGATGGGAGCTCGCATTACATATCAAAGTGCTGAGGATAATAGAAACAAAGTCAGGATCCGTAATAAGTGAGTTTAATTGGGACCACAAAAAACTCAAGATGCTAAAATAAAAGCACACCACACTGTTTTAAATGGAGTTATAGCTCAGGGAACAGGTATGCTGTAGGAGCTACTCCAACTTTATAAAATGCCCCTTTCATCAGCATGGGGAAGAAAGAGCGCTGACTGGGTCTCTCTCTGTGTTCCTGTTTTAGTCAACAGACTTGAGCAAGAAAAATAAAGGGACAGGGATGTCTATATATAATTAGGAAGCAATTAAAGCCACGTAAACACAGCTGCAGATAAAAACACAGGTAAGGGAATTCTTTAAAAAAATTAAATGTAACCTATCAGCAGGCGGAATGAAAATGGGTCCCGAGGCAGTGAAAAAACTTGGTAATAAACTAGCTGCACCCCCACCCACCCCGGAAAAGGAAACGTGATTGAGGGCCAGGCCATTTCGTATTGTGTCTTGACGTGAGCTTGGGTGAGGGAAGCTTCTTGGGTGACTGAGTAACTAACTTTCAGGGAAAGAAAAAAAGAGCCGTGAAGACAAGGGAGGGAGTGGCTGGGAGTTTCCCTTGATCGGCCTTTCTCACAGTTACGACATCACGTTTCAAGGATGGATCGCTGTCAGGGTCAGAATGACCCGGGCTACATAAAGAAATCAATTCCGCAAGTGTTTACTGAGCGCCTCCCATGTCCAAGGCACCATGCCAAGGGAGAGGTATAGAGATGGGCAAGGCTGGTCCCGGATCTCCGGAAACACCCAGACCACAGGGACAGCAGCTGTGAGCACAAGGTTAAAGGCAAGTGATGCTGTGGTAGTTACATGCTGAGCACAGAGTCACGGGAGGGAGGTGAATTTCCACCAAGCGTATCAGGAAAGGCTTCCTGCAAGAAGTGGTATTTGAGCTGACCTTGAAAGGTGGATAGAGAAAATGCTTCAGGCAGGGTAATGACATTTGTTCATCCACCCACTCATCTATCTACCCATCCATCCATCCACCCAATGAACAAATAGCTATTAACAAATAGCTACTGATGGCAGAATTTTGAGTAAAAAGAGATAGAATCCCCATCCTTGAAAGCTTTTCACGGAAGAATTGAACCTTCAGATGTAAATGGCGGTATGGCAACTGGCCTTGAGGGGTGGTCCAAGGTTCTGCCTGGGGCTCTAACAGGAATGGTAGATCAGGCAGAGAAGTTAGGGAAAGCCTTGCTGAGAAAGTGATGGTGGAACCAAGAACTGAAGGGGGAGCCGGAGACATCCAGGCAAAGAGTAGGGGGCCTGCAGCATTCTCAACTGAGGGAGCGACATGCTTCGAGGTGGGAAAGAAGCACTATGAGAACAAGGGGCTGAAACCATCCAGGGGTCTGGAGCATGGCATAGGAGGATAGTGTGTGGAGATGAGACCACAGAGCCCAGCAGGGGCACGTGGGGTCTTGAGTGGTCTCGGTGAGAAGCTCCCACCCTTCATTCTAAGAACAATGAACAGTCTTCGGAATTGTTCAATTGGTTCAGTTATATGGAGGGGAGGGCGGAGGTGGCATGGTGAGAGTTTTATTTTGGAAAGATCATCTGGCTGAACTGCAGACCAGAGTGGATGAACCAGTGGTCCAGCAGGAGGTATGGAAAAGGCCAGGGCCGGGAGAGCAGCAGTGGGCATGAGGAGAAATAATGTCAAGGGCTATATAGGGGCAAGTCAACAAGACTGCAAGCTAGATTATGGGGCTTTGGTAAGGAAAAGGGAGGTGACTCGGATACGTTTGGCTCTCAGGACTGGACAGATTGCAGTGCCAATCACACAGATAAGGGCAATGGACAAGGACCATTGTGACAGAGAGAGATGAGCTGTGGGGATTAAGAGGTTTGAAGGTGTGGTCAATGTATGTCTCTGCAGTAAACTATCAGTCCCCTGAGGGCAGGATTCTGTCTCTTTTTTACGAAAAATTGTGGCCTTGGCAACTAGTGCAATGTCTGACGGATAGCAAGTGCTCTGAAAATGCTTGCTACTTGAGTAGCTAGTGGGACGAATGGATGACCTTGGTTTTGGACATGTAAAGTGTGAGGCGGTTTAAGACACCTGAGAGATGAGATGTCAGGTACAAAGTTGGAGAGGTGGACTGCTGCTCAGGAGAGAAGTCAGGATGGGAGCTAGAGATGCATGACCACCCAAAGAGAGTAGCTCAAGGGAGAGGAACAGGCCCTGGATCTAGCCTTTAGGAATCCCGACAGGTCAGGGCCAGGCCGCGGAGGGCAGGTGCACAAAGGAGAAAGAGAAAGGGCAGCCAAAGTCAGAGGGAGTCTTTCAAGAATGAGAGAGTGGTCAACGGTGTCGATTGCAAGTAAGATGAGAACTGAAAAATGTCCTTTGGATTTAGCAACACTGAGGTCATCGGTGACCTTTGTGGGAGCTGTTTTTGTGGAGCGATGTGGTGGAAGCCAGATTGGAGGGGGTGAGGAGTGAGGAGTGGGAGGTGATGAAACGGTGACAGGGCGTCGACACAATCTTAGGAGAAGTTTGGCGGTGAAGAGGAGGAGAGAGGTGGGGCGGAAGCTGAGCAAAGGCAGGAGTGTGCCCAGCAGGTCTGAGAAGGGACAATGACCAAACATGACTAGAACAGTGGTTCCTGTCCATTTTTTTCCTGCCCCTCCATCCCCTAAGGAACAGACACCCCAGATCAGGAACAGAAATCAGAACATCCAGAGAAGGAGTTGATTTGACTGGGGCAATGAGCTTGACTTCTGGAGATGTCAATGGGGAGTAGGGGACAGGTAGGGTAGCTGGAAATACGGTCCCGGGCAGCATCGTCAAACTACAGCCGCTGACCAAATCCAGCCCCCACCCCCTACCTGTTTTTATATGGCCAGCCCATGAACTGAGAATGGTTTTACATGTTAATATGGTTGAAAAACAAAAAGGAGAATAGTACCTCGTGAGATGTAAAAAGTATATAAAGTTCACATTTCAGGATCCACAATAAAGTTTTATTGGAACACAGCCACATTCATTGACGTACCACCTGTGGCTGCTCTTGCATCTCTACGGAAGACCTGAGTAGTTACGACAAACTGATGGGCCCACAGTTCAAGATATTTATTATCTGGCCATTTACAGAAAACGTTTGCCAATCCTTGGTCAGGGGCATAGGGAAGCAATCAGAGCAACCTCCTGATGGTCAGCATTATGGGAAAGACTCAAGTTAAAGGGGGCCAGATTACACTGTGCATTGAGGAAAACAGGTGGCTGGCTATTTCTGGGGTACAGAAGAGATGGCAGCAATCTAATATCTCTGGGTACAAGATGGGCATTTGTCCCTCCTCCACCAGTGTGTCCCCTCCCTTGCCTCTGTCATGAGCAGACCCCCCACAAGACTCAGCGTAAAGGACACATCTTTAGGAAAACATCTCCCTTCCCTTCCCCGACTGAGTCTCCCAGCCGTCTCAGACAACGCTTCTAGCGCTTCTCCTTTCCATCACTCATCACCATGGTAATTAAATAAATATTTGCAGGATCCTTGGTTTACTGCCTGTCTCTCTCCCTGGACCGGAGGTGCTGTGGTGTAATGACTAAGAGAGCAGACTGCAGACACAGGCTGTATGGTTCAATCCTGGCTCTACCATGTACTGGCTGGGGAACTGGCTTACTTACCCTCTCCTGGCCTCAATTTCCTGATTAGCAAAATGGGAACACTGAGAGTCCCAGATCACTCAGGGCTGTGAGCATTAGCTAAGGTAATAAGATGGAAGGTGCATAAAGCAGTGCCTGCAATACGCTAAGAGTTCAATAAATATATCATCCTTCCTTTCGTTCTCCCTCTCTCCCACTCTAAACCTGACAGGTTGTCCCCATTTTCCTGCACATGAGACAAATCATGATGGTGCTGCCTGTTCCATCCTGTTTTCTTTGACTTTTCAGCTCTGAAGTCCTCCTGGGTTTGGCAGTCATCTGCCACCTCCTGGGCTTCCTTTACCCTTATCGTTCCAACTCCAATATGTTTTACACCTCCTGTGAGCATACTGGCACAGCTAACTCTTTGAAGCCTCCTTGACTAACCTTTCTGCTCAACTGCTAGGCCATTTGTGACCTCAGAGAGAATAAATTCAGAGGCTGCACCATTACCACTCCTAGAGAGTCAGCCACCTGGCAATGACTGGATTCCTCATGAACTTGGCCTTGTGTGGATCTTTTATGATGGTTC